CCCCCCCCTGTTTTTTTTCTCAACAAAAAAAAATCCTTGGTGTTCCTTATTTTAAAAAAAAACTTGTTTGGTGTTCCTCGGTCTTAAAATGTTATGTTAAACATGTTATAAAGGGGATTGTGATCAATTATTCTATGTTAGTTAAAAGGTAGTAATGGAAGTACAGGAAGTAATGGGCTTCATCTGCTACTAGATATTAGCCCCCCCCTGTTTTTTTTCTCAACAAAAAAAAATCCTTGGTGTTCCTTATTTTAAAAAAAAACTTGTTTGGTGTTCCTCGGTCTTAAAATGTTATGTTAAACATGTTATAAAGGGGATTGTGATCAATTATTCTATGTTAGTTAAAAGGTAGTAATGGAAGTACAGGAAGTAATGGGCTTCATCTGCTACTAGATATTAGGAAAACTTTTTAACTCTAAGCATAGTTAAGTACTGGAGTAGGCTTCCAACTGAGGTTGTGGAACCCCCCTCGCTGGAAGTTTCGAGAGCAGTTTGGGGACACATTTGTCAGGGATGGTCTAGGTTTACTTGGTCCTGCTTCAGTCCAGGAATCTCAACACCACTTTAGAGGCCTGCTTCCAGGGCTGGCCCACAACATTTTGGCACCTGAAGCAGGGAGCTCAAATGATGCCCCCATGCCCCCTTGCTGCACTAGCAGCAGACACAATTTTCCACACTCTGGGTCCTAGTGGCACCCCTGCTCCCCCCCCACACAGAGTCTGGCACCTGAGGCGGCTGCCTCAGTTTGCCTCATGGTAAGGCCAGCCCTGCCTGCTTCCTCATTCCTGGAAATAAACTTCCCTTGTGGCCACTTCAGTGGTGTGAATTATTAAGAAACACTCAACTTTATTTTCCCACCCACAAGTACAACATATCCTATTTTCTTCTCCTTCGTGTCAGTAACATGCACGGTAGCAAGGCAGATGGTGTTCTGGAGGATGATGATTGTGGTATACCCTTGGGTTACTGCCAAAGGCGATAGTTGCCTTTGGGTCTCTCTCTTCCAGAATCCCCTCCCGCAAAACACTATAGCGCTATATGAAAACTTCCTAAAAGAAGCTGAGAAGGCAGAAATCTCTTGAACTTCTGGTGATCTTATGTGAATCCCTCATGTAGCTTGAGAGAGAGGCATTTTCCAAAGCCTCCTTTCAAGAGAGCACTGACGTGTTAGGCTATCCTGAATCAGTCCCCAAGATGCCCAGGAGTAATCCGCTCTGAGATTAGAATGTTCCTGTCACAGGGTAGCTGGATGTTTTCAGGGGAAATGGTACCTCCATCCCCTGTGTACCAGTGCATATGCTGTCTGCTAGCTCCCAGAACAA